CATTATTGGGGAAAAAAAGAATAGACCCACTGCCCCCTAACAAGCATGTCATAAAAGTTGACTTACTAGAGGTTTAGGTTTAGGTCTAGACAGCGGATCAGCATCATGGCACAAGGGGTAACCCATAAGTGCTCCATTCTACTTCTGACTCAAGCCTGAGTGCGAAGAATCTCAGTGCAGTGCATGAACTCTGTAGCACTGGTGAGGACCCTGAAATACTTTGGGTAGATTTTGTGTTTCTTTGAAGTTGATGTGCATCTGCCTGAGAGGTGAGGAACAAACACTCCGCCTACAGATAAGCAAGAGCTTAACCCTTTCGCTGCTACGTTCCCGGAAATAGTTGTCCTCCCTGTGCTAAGCAATGTGAAAAAAAAAAGTCTCTGCTGTGCGCAATACTTTTCTATCCTCCAAACGCAAGAGATGCGTCGGCGGTGAGGGCTATATTTTGTACACCCAAAAAAATGTACCCTGGGGAGTTGTGTGGTTGGTACGAGTGGTGACAAGTCAGAGGCACGATGGTGGCCCACAAACTTGACTAACGGAGCTATCATCCTTCTGGGTGGGGGGGGGGGGGGAATTAATGGGAAGAACTGTTCCCTGTCCGTATCCCAAAATTTGATTGACGAACCTACCACGGCTGCCACTTTAATCATAGTTATTTGTAGTCATCATGTTATTAAATACCAAAATAATAAAAAAAAAATTAATAATAATACTTGAGTCGTCCGTTGATGAAAAGTAGCAGGAACTGAAACGAAAATTTTCAATAATTTAAAAAAAAAAAATAAAAACACGACTTCGGGGGTTGAACACACGACCCTCTGATTCTAAGGCGAACGTGATACCAATTACACTATACTACCGCTTGACGTATTTTGCTGTGTGAATGATAATAATGACTGATGTACGCAGACTATCAATAACGTGCCTAAGCTATCGCCGCATGCATGAGCACTGTTGTCTGAGAAATGTTTGAGATTCTCAACAATAGTAAAAATATGTCTGTCGACATTATTTCACGGGAGTTTTTAGCAAACAGTCTTTGCTCAAGTACTCTATTTTGAGTTTCTTTATTCTAAGCATTAGCAGACAGACAACAAAAAAAAAAAAAAAAAAAAAAAAGGTTCGTCCGAATCTGTGTCTGTCCAACGGGAAAGACGAGAATTTTTAGTGACTGAACTGTTTGAATTTTCAGTAGCAGAAATACAGTTAGAGCTGGAGTCATCAAAATTATGCACTACTGGTTTCAAATCAACGGTTCATAAAGGCAACTGATCAATTTATGGTGCTTTATTGTCGCTGCTCTCTGATTCCGACAATGAGGACGTCGGACAGGCAGACAGCTTTTTTTGGACACGACGGTTTCAGCAGTCGATATTGATGGCCTAGTCAAATCTTTTTGTTCACTGTCAGAAGTAAACATTTCAAAGTCATCTTCGCTATCACTTCTTGACAGAAACTCCATAAATTCTTCATCAACTTTAACAAGTTTTCTTGCCATTTTGTACTAAGTGTAGAATAATACAAAAGCACAAATATATATCAGGGCACAAAATACACATATCACCGACCACGCTGTCACGGTAAACAAAGCAACGGGATAACGCAGAATGCAGTAAACACACCTTAAACACACCTAAAGCACGTGCCAGTGCTTTTAATCATATGTAAATGGGTCAGTTTAATCTAAATATAGTTAATGTATATTGCCCTTCAGCCAATAAAATACGAGGTAACAGAAATCTGTAGGAAAAGTCCAAAAACGGCTTAGGACGTCCATAGCACTGGGGGTCAAGAAAAAAAATAACGTCCAAAGACGGGCGTAGCAGCGTACGGGAAATCGGGAAAAGACGTCCATAGCAGCGAAAGGGTTAAAAATGGATGTACACACAAAACTCAAGTTCAGGAACAAGACTAAAGTCCAGAAGGTGATGAACAACAAAACCTTTTTGCTAGAGCCCATGAATCTGAAGAAAAAGCAGAAGTCTGATCATGCATCCTGTCAAGGAAACATGACCAAACCAGACCTGATTCTAGCCAACTATGTATGCGGTATGCTGACCAGGTTGTCTCTTAATATGCTGCTGCAGATATGAAGAATTATTATTGGTCGTACACACTTTACATATTCTTGGTTTGTATAGGGAAAGACGATCTCTGCAACATAGTCTTTATGACAATTGTGCTTCAGTACCACATTGGTAGAACAGTTTCTACACCAACTTTGCCCCAATGCACACAAGAACTTTCTAACGCTGAGATGACTTTTTAACCAGTGCATCAGACTTAACAGTTTTCCAGACGATTTACAAGCCAGCCAGCTCCATCTAATCTGTGGTGTGGTTTGCAGCTAGGCTGTGATATCTGTGCCTTTGAGCCCAAAACATCAGATTTCATCAAATCCCTAATTACTTGCATTTTATGACATGCTTCTTAAGATGCTGTGAGTTCTTCCCTATCCAAGTAAAAATGGAGCCCTGAATCCACTAATTTCATACATTAATAACAGTAGAGTGCAGTTAATTTAATATGAAAATTTTTAAAAATTATGTAAAACCAACTTTCTTCTTAGCTTACATCCTGACCAGCAGACAGGGAAGGTGACCCATCACATTCAATTCGATGCCTATGATATCAATGAATTTGAATATCAGCTTAATGTGTAAGTATTTAGGAATGACACAATTCTAAAAGTTACAGTTAAGAGGATTGACTTGATTGCACTGTTTATTCCATTGAGTTTAGTTGCTGTCTACAGAACATCTAGCTATCTGCTGAGAGCTTCACATGTAACACAAACTCTATTGCTTCAGCGTTGATCCCAAGAGATCTCCATAAAAATTGCACTTGTGACCTGAACAATGCATCTGTGAGATGAACCTATGACCTTCAGAGCGTAAGGTAAACGGTTTGACCACTTCACCACAGAGACCCCCCAAATATAAATTTCCCATTTCCTGTTGCAGACATTGCCTTGTGTTTTTGAAACAAGACTTCATATAATCTGACATAATGAGGTGGGTTGATTGTAACTGGCTCAGGTAACATGCTGAGGAAGGTGAGGACAGGCCTGCTTCATGCAGAGTGACATGCTTCGCTTCAGAGGTCACGGGTAAAGAGCATTGTCTGGATCTTTTCTCCGGGGCATGCCGATGTGTTGGGAAATGAACAGATAGACATTGGCTAGCTCTGCATATCTAGGTGAAATATTGATGCATGATAGGGCAGACGTGGTTAAGGCCTTATGGTAGCACGTGGATAGGTAACAACAGTACATTTCTGGCATAAATTAGTTAAGAAGCTGTCTTCTGAACTTGTGGCTTATTTTGGTATACAGAGTTAGCAGCATATTTTTATAGACCAATGGTCACTTAATATGGCCAGTATCCTGCTTGCCGCCTTCACTTCAACATTTTTTCCTGGCACCCATTTAGGCTAGGCTGAGCTAGAAAACCAGATTAATAAGCTTCCTACCTTGTCATGTTTTCTTCTTCACATGTTTTCTAGAAAATTTTGAAAATTATGCAGTTACCAATTTAGGAGGGTGTGTCAACCTCAGAATCATACTAGTTGGAATGCTTCTGTGGGTTCTAAGGCTTCATTTTTAGGGGAAGGAAGAAAAGACACAGCTATTTAGAAACAAAAAACAAAAACAAAAACTTTACTAGGCATTTTTACAATCACTAGTTTGCCATTATTTTCTGAATTGTTAGAGCTCCATACTGTTGTCTTAATCAAAGCAAAGCAGTCTGCTACCAATTCGGCTGCAGCTTGAATATGTTGTAAAAGGTGACTAATTAAGGATTTGCTGAAATTGGATGTGATGGAAATGGAGCATGTTTTGAAACCAAAGAAAGATTTGTGGAAAGAGAAATAAAAGAAGAAAGCATGAGACGATTCTTGGCAGTCTTTGGTCATGGCATGGAGGAATGTCAGCACATGAGCTGGTGAATGCTGTTGAAGATGGCAGGCTGTGGAGAGGTATCATCACACACGCCAGTCGGCCAGGTCATGATGATGATTGTAGACTGAAAGAGTTAATTCATTACTTCTCTTTGTTATCAACCAGAGCATACACTTTGGGAATAATGTTTAATACTCATAAGTGTAGTATAGATTGCAAAGCATTATCTTCATGAGCAGTTGGATATTCACACAAATTTCCCTTAGAATTACAAATTTAAGAGTTAATATCATAGCACGTCAGAACTGTTAGATTTTCACACAAAATTTCCATTAGAATGACTAATTTAAGAATTAACTTAGCATGTCGGGGCTGTTAGCTATTCACACAAATTCCCCTTAGAATTATAATAATTTAAGAATTAACATCATAGCACATTGGGGTTTTTAGCTATTCACACAAATTCCCCTTAGAATAATACTAATTTAAGAATTAACATCATAGCACGTTGGGCTTACCCATAGATGATCTATCTCCCATAGCAAATATTTTAAGGTATAATGATCGTTCTAGCAACATGCTTGTGGTACATACATAATCTTCCTCTCATGTTCTTTTCTTGCTGGATCCACATTTAACTATGAACTTTGGTAATCTAACACATGTTGTTTAATCTAATGTTAAATCTTCTGTGAAAATTATTTTATGTGTACTCTTTAGATTGTCTGTCTTATCCGTTAAAGAATTTTTTTTTCACATTTTATTTTAAATGTACTTCTTTTCCTCCATAATTGCATTCTGTAATATCTCAAAGATGAGAATCAGACAGCTATAATTCTGGAAACCCATTTCAACAGTATAGCCATTAGCACAATTATATTGGGGCATTAGAAAACATCTATGATATAACGTATAGTCCAGTGCAAGTGGGTATCATATAATTATGAGTATGCATACAGCTGTCATTTTGCAGCTCACAATGAATTGGCCAGTGACTGCCAAAAAAAAAAAAAGTTTGATAAACACACTGCTGAACTGTATTTCATGAAACTTTTCAAATTTGTTTTTTTTTTTTAATTGTTGTTTTGTTTTCCAGAGCCATTGAAATGTATACTAAGAGAATAAAGTGGTTGCTTCAGGGAAGCAAGAGGGTAAGCACTTTATTGTTAATTATACAGCCGTAGGCAATCTATTGATGCACAGTTCAAATAAGGAAATGTTTACATTATGTTACATACAACAATTATTAGCCAGATATAAACTTTCAGCTCACTCCTATAATTAATTGCAAATTAGGATCAGAAACCACCATCCAAATAGGTAGAATAAAATAAACTTGGATAAACTATGAAGTTTAATTTAAAAATACTGTCCACATATCAATTTGCCAAGAAATCAGAACTGACGTAGGTAATTTTTATGATTGGTACTTCTTAAATTTATACTCACACTGCTAACAGTGAAAGATTATTTATTATAATTGGTATCTGAAATCTGAAATTTCTTGCAACATTCTTTGATTCTTTTAAACATTGTTCATTGAACTGTGTTTGAGAATTTTATTTTATGTAGCTTTTTGGCTTAGAGGTTGGCGAACACAGTTTACAGTTTCAGAATCCTTCAATGCTAGGGTTTGTTTCCCACCGTGGATGGTTTAAAAAAACCACCACACTCGTGTTTTCAGACAATGGTGCGGGTACATGCCGTTGAAGAGATTGTGGCCTCAGCACGTAATATTCTCAAAGACAGCTGTCGGTACACTGTAGCCAGCCTTCATTGTGGAGACGGTACAAAAAAAAAAGAAAAAGAAATATTATAAATTGATTATTGAATATGCAAATTTATTTTCTTTAACTGCAGTTTTACCATGATTATTTGTTTTTCTGTCCAGATGTTTGGCCACCTAGCAGGAAAAAAAGTGGCCGTTTGCATAGATGTATCTGATGCCAGTTTGAATTTGGGAAGACAGTCTGCTTTTCAGGAATCTCTTCTTGTTAGTAATTAGAATAACTTGTGTGTATAGGTTGCATGTTTTGTTTCGCCTGCTTGTAATCCCTTCACCTCACTCCAGTCCCAAGCAGTGGCAAGATTTGTTTTCCTGACTAGCAAGGTTCTGGGGTCAATAATACATCCTTATGTTATTGGTACTTCATGACTTTTTTTAAAATGGAAACAAATTAACTAAAGAGAGAAATGGCCACCAAACCGGATGCCAAGTGCAATAACCTATCCCAGTGGCAGTATCTGTCTTGGGGCTATAATTTATATCTGTCACTACTATCTGTATGTACCAGATAGACAGGGATGGCCGTGAGCCTGAGGATTTAGGGCAGTATCTGTCTTGGAGCTATAATTTATATCTGTCACTACTATCTGTATGTACCAGATAGACAGGGATGGCCGTGAGCCTGAGGATTTAGGGCAGTATCTGTCTTGGAGCTATAATTTATATCTGTCACTACTATCTGTATGTACCAGATAGACAGGGATGGCCGTGAGCCTGAGGATTTAGGGCAGTATCTGTCTTGGGGCTATAATTTATATCTGTCACTACTATCTGTATGTACCAGATAGACAGGGATGGCCGTGAGCCTGAGGATTTAGGGCAGTATCTGTCTTGGGGCTATAATTTATATCTGTCACTACTATCTGTATGTACCAGATAGACAGGGATGGCCGTGAGCCTGAGGATTTAGGGCAGTATCTGTCTTGGGGCTATAATTTATATCTGTCACTACTATCTGTATGTACCAGATAGACAGGGATGGCCGTGAGCCTGAGGATTTAGGGCAGTATCTGTCTTGGAGCTATAATTTATATCTGTCACTACTATCTGTATGTACCAGATAGACAGGGATGGCCGTGAGCCTGAGGATTTAGGGCAGTATCTGTCTTGGAGCTATAATTTATATCTGTCACTACTATCTGTATGTACCAGATAGACAGGGATGGCCGTGAGCCTGAGGATTTAGGGCAGTATCTGTCTTGGAGCTATAATTTATATCTGTCACTACTATCTGTATGTACCAGATAGACAGGGATGGCCGTGAGCCTGAGGATTTAGGGCAGTATCTGTCTTGGGGCTATAATTTATATCTGTCACTACTATCTGTATGTACCAGATAGACAGGGATGGCCGTGAGCCTGAGGATTTAGGGCAGTATCTGTCTTGGGGCTATAATTTATATCTGTCACTACTATCTTTATGTACCAGATAGACAGGGATGGCCGTGAGCCTGAGGATTTAGGGCAGTATCTGTCTTGGGGCTATAATTTATATCTGTCACTACTATCTGTATGTACCAGATAGACAGGGATGGCCGTGAGCCTGAGGATTTAGGGCAGTATCTGTCTTGGGGCTATAATTTATATCTGTCACTACTATCTGTATGTACCAGATAGACAGGGATGGCCGTGAGCCTGAGGATTTAGGGCAGTATCTGTCTTGGAGCTATAATTTATATCTGTCACTACTATCTGTATGTACCAGATAGACAGGGATGGCCGTGAGCCTGAGGATTTAGGGCAGTATCTGTCTTGGGGCTATAATTTATATCTGTCACTACTATCTGTATGTACCAGATAGACAGGGATGGCCGTGAGCCTGAGGATTTAGGGCAGTATCTGTCTTGGGGCTATAATTTATATCTGTCACTACTATCTGTATGTACCAGATAGACAGGGATGGCCGTGAGCCTGAGGATTTAGGGCAGTATCTGTCTTGGAGCTATAATTTATATCTGTCACTACTATCTGTATGTACCAGATAGACAGGGATGGCCGTGAGCCTGAGGATTTAGGGCAGTATCTGTCTTGGGGCTATAATTTATATCTGTCACTACTATCTGTATGTACCACTTTTTTTAGGGAAAAATAGACAGGGATGGCCGTGAGCCTGAGGATTTTGGGCAGTATCGCTTGTGCTGTTGCCATAGACTGTACATGTTAGGATGTTTAATCCCCCCCCCCCCCCCTCCTCCCCCACAAAAAAACCCCAATTCTTTACCGGGGTCGAACTCGGGTCTTCCAAATGAGAACCTGACATTGTAACCGCTCAGCCAGCTGCTTCTCTATAATTTATATATATATATATTTAAATAATCCTCCATAACACAGAATCTCCTGTTATTTTCAAGGGCCACTCAAAGGAAAACTCATCATCATCATCTAATCATCTCATAACATGCCCAAAAAAGTCAAAACATTCTTAGACATTTTATCAGAAACCACATTTATAGATGTATTTTAACATTAAATGTTTTACCAGCACATTGCCTAGTTCACATTTTATGCTAAATCAAGTTGGTAGCTCAGGCCATTTATTAAAATAAAAACTGCTGTGATGCCCATTTCAACCCAAGACTTTAATTATAGTAGGCAAGCATCTAGCCACTGTGATAGCATAACTACCAAATGTATGTGTAAGTCAAAGCAATGTTCCTCATTGTAACAATAATCACAAATTATCAGACTATAGATTCATTTGTTCATTATCCTGTTGTACCATCATATGCCACATAGAACTTGCAATCTGTTCATCCATTGTGTTCTATCCTGAACAATCAGTTCAGTATCATTGATGAAATCTGGTCCAGCCACTTTGGCCTCTCTCATGAACATTTGCTTTAGTGTTTCTAAAATCTATTTATATCTCATTTTAGTGCAAGTTTGGTGATTCTCTGCTGATTTTTTCTGAGGATGTGACCAGTAAAGTTCCATCTTCTCTGTCTTTATAACTGTTGATACTAGTGGCTGCCCACACATTTATCTTTTCTGTGCACCCCTTCTGAATTCATCCCATATTTTGTTCATCATTTTCCTCAGGAATTTGTTTTCCAGTGCATTTAACTTTCACTTCATGTCTTTAGTGGTTCTATAACTTTTTTGTCTTTGTTTATATCTTTGCAAGTGTTGCAGATTTGTGATGGCTTCTCATTGTTTTACTGAACATTTTCAGCATTTGATTCATGAACAGCTGAGTGCTATGTCAAGTATTTATGTGATGGGTTTTGGGACGGATGTGCACCCTCTATGGCCTACAGCACAAGATGTTAACTATCAGACGTGAGTGGTATTGCATTTTATAATGATCTGTTCATTTGATTTCTCATTATAAATACCATTATATATCTTCTGATAAGCTGTGATAAAATCTGTGCACTCTATGTAACATATGTGTGATACATAGCAGGAATGTTGTTAATGGTATATGGACTTACCATCAGCTCTTTAAGCAAGCGTCATTTATTAGTTTTCATCCTATTTTTATCCAACCATTATGTCTAGAGTCTTGTAAAATGAGCACCATATACTTATTTAAAAAAAAAAATTCTATCAGTACCATACACTCACTAAATGTTTATTGATTACATGTTACAAATTTCTTTTCTTCCTGTGTCCAGTTCTTTTGTAATGGCCACTGCATAGTTGTTTGTGATGAATCTTCCAACAACAACAACAACAAAATGGTTCACACATTCTGTTTCTGGGGACATCTTTTATAAAGTTTGCTCTCTTGACAGTTTATGGTTCCCAGTTAATGAGATTGTCTTTCCGGATAGTGGACCACCACAATAAAACATAAATTGTGAGAACAGCATGCTCGTGGCTGTGTAAACTATTGGTCAGCATTCCACCTCGACATAGCACAACCACAATATACGCTGTTCCCACAAAAAATACAGTGTATCCTACATTAGGAACTTGCACAAAATAGCAGCCAATGACAAGGGAACAGAATCCTTTTGTAATGATAAGCCATTGTACTTGAGCAGGTACTTTAACTTCTTTCACACAATTGTATTAGTTTAACTCTTTAAGACTCAAGTGTGGCTTCACGGCTTTAAAGTTTAGTGAATGCATTCACTTTCCATGATGTTTATACAAAAAATGTTCCTGTGGTTTTTGGAAAATTAGTAGTAGAGCCGCACCTTAGAAGAGATTGGGACCTCACCACATCAGTATTCCCCAAAACAGCCCTGGGTACAATCTAGCCAATCTTCATTGTGAAGATGGCACAACAGTTTTTCATAATTATGACTGAAAGATTGCCAGTCTAATGTAAACAGGCTCTGTGGTAGACATTGTTAAAGTAACATCCCTCTGGGACTGAAAGAGTTAATTCTTTGTAGCTAGAGAACTTTTCTGAAATAGCAGCTAAATTTGTGATTACAGATTGGAAGAAGCTAAAGTCTTTGTGATGAACCTCAGCAGCAGCGGTGGCACCAATCTTCTCAAAGCAATCAAGCATGTGATGAAACTATCAGACCTGGACACAGTGGTTCTGATTTTAGGCAGTTTGTAAGCATGGACTATCACCATATTAAGATCCATACACCTATCCATCCTTGCTCCCACCCATCCACCACACATTAATCCATCCATCCACTCACTAATCCATCCATCCTTCCATAAACCCACGCACACTTCCACAAATTCACACACACTAACATCATCAAGGATTCTTAACTTCATTTTACATTGCATTTTCAGTTTTTTTTTCTAAATTGCCTATTCAGGTCCTATGCAGAATTGAACCCCACACCTTCAGCATCCCCTTTTATTTGTCACTTCCTCCACTTGTGGGTTCTGTGGCTCCATTTGAAGGTGGGAATAGACCCACTGCCTCTCTATCATCATGTCATTGAATGCAACTAGTTAGGGGGTTTTCTCCGGTCAGATAACTTATGCTTAGGAGGTGAAGAACCAACAGTCTGCATACAGATAAACATATCTGTGAAATGGATGTACATGAAAAATTCTGGAACAAGACTTTAAATTCCAGAAGTGGACTAACAACCAGAACTTTCCATGGAACCCTACAGCCAATGAATTGCGATGAAGAAGATTTGTAACTTCTTTGTGGCTTATAAGTAAATTCACAAACAAAAAGAGGACTATATTCCACACATTAAACACATGCACTTGAAAATAAGTACAAGACTATTGTCCACACTTTAGAGGTGTATTGGGTATATGGTGCCAGCCTCATATTTTCTAGACTAGACAGCACTCTGGGGCATGTGGAAGGCAGCCTCACACCAGTCCTCAGAGGGTCGAGCATCTCTTCATTGGTCCCGGTTGTTAGCATTCTTTGGATATATATTCTGGGTATGCAGGAGTGTTAGAAGATGAACAGACAGACAGATTAGCTGGTGCTGCACCAGTGGGTAGTGAATTTAAGCAAGGCCAAGGCCCTTCCAGCAAAAACCGCAAATGATTAAAAGCATCTTTATCCCTACTTTATGTTATCAGTGCTAAACATGGACAATGAATAGGGCACTAGAAAAGAAAATAACTACATGTGAAATGGGCTGTCTACACAAGGTCACTAACACACACACACACAAAAAGAGACAGGGTTACAAATACCAACATTAGAGACTAAGTTGGAATAAGACCATGTCTGGATTGTATTGACAGACAAAGGATGAAATAGTTCAGCCATCTAGTGAGAATGCAGCCAGACTAAATATATGAGACTTTTGACAGCAAAACATATGGGAGGTAGGTGAGAGGAAGACCAAGAAAGAGAAAAAAAAGATGAACAAATTCATCATCTAAGCCACCCGAGAAGTGCAAGACAAATACAGAAAACCACGACACTGGGTTACAACCCAGTTTCAATGAGATGACAAAAGTAGAAGCAGAAGAAGGTGGGTGGGTGGGTGGGCCTGCTGCTGCCTTTGGGAGTATTATGTGAAGCTACAATCTTTTTTTATACATATATGTGTGTGTATATATGTCTGTGTGAGAGTGTGTGTGTGTATGAAAGGGAGAGAGGAGAAAAAACACCAAATGGTATAGTTTTTATAAACAATAATTTATGTTAATGACTGGTAATTTCTTTTTCTGATTTACAGACCAGACCAGCCCGCAGACATCCTGCAAGATTTCATTTGTCAGATTACTGTGGGGCATGGTGCATTGATTCATGCTGTTGCTTATGACTGTAGCAACAACAATACCAATGTAAATGAACAAACTTGTTTTAATTGCTGCTGTGTTGTGTTAACTATACTCTTTTTCTTCCTCTTTTTCCACTTCTGTCTACTCTTCCTACTCATCCTCCTATGATGTTGTTGTTGTTCTCCTTCTTCTTCTTCTTCTTCTTCTTCTTCTTCTTTTTCTTGTTCTTTTTCCTCCTCATCATTCTTTTCCTCCCCCTTTTCCTCTTTCCTCTTCATCTTTTTGTTCTTTTTTTTTCTTCCTCATTCTTTTCCTCCCCCTTTTCCTCTTTTTCTTTCTTATTCATCTTTTTCTTCCCATTATCCCCTGATGGAGCATAGACCCTCAACTAGCTCACACTAAGTCATAACGTGCAATTCTCATCATGTTATCTCCACATTTGTAATCTTTATTTCACCCCTCCAGGTGTTTGTTTATATAATTTTTCTCTTCTCAAAGTGGGGTCCGAGAACCTGCATGGAGATTTTTCTCTTCTTCTCCTTACAGTCCATGCTGTTTGGCATTGGTTACCATGTCTTATCCACAGCCTTCTGTCTCATGTACTGTCAGTCATTTCAGAAACAGATGTGACATAATGCCAGAATGTCAGTGTGTCTAATATTTTCTCTCTTGGTCTCCCTCTGTCTCTCTTCCCTTTTAACTTTTCTGTTGTCACAACATACTGCACTATTTTCCTTCTTATGACCTACCCTAAGAATGTACATACCTGCCTATGATGCAGGTAATATGTTATCTCTGTGATTTAATTTCTTTCAAGGCATCTTCACGTGTTTTTATATTTTAATTTTTTTTTTCTATTTGGTGATTTTCCCCCCTCAGATGACATTGAAAAAACTGGCTGAATCATCTGGAGGAAGATACCACTGCTACGCTGCCAGTAATGAGGTTAGAGTGGCTGCTTGTAATCATTGTAATCTCTTTGTAAAATAATCAACCAAAAAACTGAAATTTGAAATCATAATATTTCATTCTGGGGCAGAAACTACTGTAAAGGATATGAAATACAGTTTTATTAACCTTCCTTAGACTTATTCTCAGTTTTATGGATATCACAATTTGTCCATCTCAGATCATCATCAGATCATATGTGCTTTTACAGATTGCCTAGAATATGTCTCCATAGATCTTGGTTTCTGAAGTTTAAAGTTTAAACAATGGATCAACATCGTGGCACATTGGTAGAAATCCATATGTGTTCCATTCTTCTTCTAACTCAAGTCTGAGTCAGAAGAAGCTTAGCACAGTGCACTGCCTCTGTAGCACTGGCGAGGATCCTGAAATACTTTGGGTAGATCCAAATTTTGTCCCGGCAGCGCCGTTAGGCTACTCTTTTCAATTTCTAACTGCAGTTTTTTACGTGCGCAACAATGCACATGGGTGTCCGATCTCACTACTCAGAGACTAGGGGAAATTACTAGAAGTCCAAGTCCACGATAAAAAATTCCAGCCCTTACTAAGGATTGAACCCGGAACCTCTAGCACTTGAGACGGACACCATGCCTCAAGACCACGCAGCCCCCCTATCTTGGTTTCTGAGAAGAGACAAACAGAGAGTCCCCAAGTAAGCCCTTACTAGGGATTGAACCCGGAACCTCTAGCACTTGAGACGGACACCATGCCTCAAGACCACGCAGCCCCCCTATCTTGGTTTCTGAGAAGAGACAAACAGAGAGTCCCCAAGCAAGCCCTTACTAGGGATTGAACCCGGAACCTCTAGCACTTGAGACGGACACCATGCCTCAAGACCACGCAGCCCCCCTATCTTGGTTTCTGAGAAGAGACAAACAGAGAGTCCCCAAGCAAGCCCTTACTAGGGATTGAACCCGGAACCTCTAGCACTTGAGACGGACACCATGCCCCAAGACCACGCAGCCCCCCTATCTTGGTTTCTTAGAAGAGACAAACAGAGAAGTCCCCAAGCAAGCACTGAAATATGAAATAGAAGGACTGAGGAAATGTGAGCGTCCATGAGAAACCCTGAGGCGAATGTTGATGAGAGAAGCCAAAGGTGCTGGACTGGATTTCACTAATGATATTAGAGTGATTGCACAGGATAGAATTGAATAAAGGAAGAAAACTATGTGAAGTATGTGACGTATAATGGCACAACAGGACATTGAATGAATGAAAGATCTTGGCATCTTGATTATTGATAGGTGTTCCTGATTTATTTTATTGATATCCACCACCTTAGACCATCTGGCATCATTCACATCTGTCACTCTTCCTAAATTCTTCTACCTTTCTAGTAGAATGGTCTCCAAATTGATTTTTCTCATCACGTAACCAAAGAGTAGGTTTGTCTTCTTCTTATAGTTGCATATAATAGTTCCACTTTCTTTTTTCCAAGCAATCATTTGCTATATAAATATTTGCATCACTGGTCTCACAAACCATATCTCTCCTGCCTCTAAACCTTCCTAATTTTCTTGTTTGCATTCCGAGATTTGCTATCAAACAGAAGAACAAGTTTAACACATCATTTTGGCTCTCTCTTTCCATCTCGAATAAATGCCAGCTAATTCTAAATATTATTAGGGACCTGTGGTATTTTTGTGAATGGATCCTGTATAAACTTTTGTCAGCAAAAGAAATCTACCACAATTGGAGATTAATCACAGATAACTGTTTGTGAATAATAAGTTGTCGTGAAGGAAACCTGTTGCTCTGTTTTCATCCTTTATAATAGTTTAGCTGTTTGTTAGGCATTGCCATGGGGTATTTTAATTACACGGCACAATATCTGTTAGAAAATCACCCAACATTTTTTTTCTCTGTTGTTCTTGTGTCAAAAAAAGGAGCAGATCTATACAAGTACTGACATAAGCAGACTTTTGTCGGAGATCAGGGAGGCACAGGACATCATTAACAAGATCCACGAGATGAAACAAGGATTGATAGGCAACGCCATAATAAGCATCATGAATGAGGTGGGAGACTATCTTTCTTCTTCTTTTTTTTTTCTGCTTCTTTCTTCTTTTGTCAAAATCTGCTTGTGCCGCTAGGCGTCGCAGTCTATCAGATGATCGGCAACCGAGCCAGGGCGCGCTCAGTCGCTTCATATGCCGTGATGTTATGAAGTCTCAAGTTGTCTGCATTCTCCCTAAAAGAGCAGCTGGTTCATTATGTTGTTTGTGGTTTACAGATAGGCTGCAGTATTGGCGCCTTTTGGCCCATCACATCTGATTTCCACCAACTCTTAATTAATGATCTTTTATAACATGCTGTTTGGGCCCCCACCGCCCCCCTTTTTACCCCCTGCCCCCTTATCAAATTTGAGGCTGAGGTGGCATTTCTCAAACCCTCTAGGTACTTTTTAGAGAAACAAAGGCAAGCAACTGCAAAAAGCTTTATATTTGCAGCGGAACCTTGGGATAAGAATTTAACCTTGACTGAGCTCTTGTGGTGAATAACTCGTATCCTGGAACTATTTTCCTCATTAAAACAAATAAAAAAAATTTTCAAATTCATTTTTGTTCTCTAAAAATCACCATATTAGTTTCACAGTGCCATTTTGTGGCTTTAACGTTATTTTAGGGGGAAATGTGAGGCACTGCTTTTTTTTTTTTGACAAGCAGCGGAAAACTGGGTTGCTTCCTACCATAATGCTACAGTCCATTGTCATCTAGTGCCTTGTTGACTGGGTTAAGTCCTCCTTTGGCAATGTTAATATGACCTAATTAATCCATTTAAAAGTTATTCAGATGCAGTCGGGTAATGCTAAAAGTTTTTTCGTCTCTAGCTCGCATATTGGATTTTACCTCGTATTCTGGGGCAAAAAAAAATGTTTGATGAGCCTGAATTGTATTCTGAAAAACTTGTATAAAGCTATGCTCATATTCTGAAGTTCCACTGAAATTTGAATTGAAAAAAAAACAAAAAAACGGATAAAACAATTCAGGAAGTCAAATTTTTATCTTCATTTCATCTCAGATAACAACAGAGGTGTCAAAATTGCCCCAGGCTCGCTTTTTACCACGTCCCCCAGGTCATGACCTGCCACTCAAAATCGAAACACCAAAATTTCATGCAAGCACATCTCAAGAGTGGCTGCAAAATCGAGGCCTTAAAGGTAAATGAGAATATGCCTATGAAATGCAGTCTTCTCTTCTTTTTCAGCATTCCAAGCCCTTAAGGTTCACTGCTGGATATATCACCTGATCCCATTTCATGATTGGCCTTCTCTTTTCATTTGAAGACTCTGAGGTTTTGTAGGTCTGTCTGTATTTCATCTCTCCACCATCTTCTTGGTCTCCCATTCAACTCTGTTGTGTATGTAGTTTTTGTTTCACTATTATCTGCCATAATCTCCAAATGCCACAACCATTGCTGTTTGTAAGCTCTCATGCTGCCAGAATTTAGAGTTGATTTATGCATTTCACTGTTGCTTCTCACTCTCCATTCTCCTCTGTTTGTTGAAATGCACTAACTTTAATAACTGATAAAGTGCAGCAAGCTAAATAGGAAGCTGCAATAGCTCAGTGGCTAGCGAGTAGGCCTATCTTCCTGTCCAGCTGTCATAGGTTTCAAAACCCATCCAGGAGGATTTGGGCTCCTAGGCTGATCCATCCAAAAATGGATTCCAGGAAAGCCTCTGGGAAGTTAAGGTGGTTAATATACTAACTACATCACGCGTCTGTTGCCGACTGGGATTTTTAACGAATACTGGGTTGATGTTATGTATTCTTGTTTGTAACTGTAACACTGTGTATTCGTTTCGTATGCTGATGAAAGCTTTCTAGCCGCAACATTTACTTAGTCTTAGTCTTGGCCTTAGTCGAGGTTTCAGCTTCACTGCAATCAGGTTTCTCCACACATGCTCAGTTCCTGTGCCAGTGCAAATCAAATGAAATGTCTCTCAATATCGCAAATGAAAAACTGCTGAACAAACAAATAGTCCCGGAACAATCCAGAAATATGTTCATGCAGTAAATGCGTATTTCAGTTGCTAGAGGTGCCATAGCCAACAGTTGACACCAGAAATGCAGTTGGTCATTGATGGAAGTAGTCAGGCGCGATAAGTTGGCTACTATACATATGTTTAATTATTACATAACGTATTACTCCAGCTCACATGTAAACCAGTTACTGGCTGTATTGAGCGCAACAAAATAACCGCTGCACAAATGAAAGGCATTCCACAGGAAAAACACAGCTCACAGGGCTGCAACCAAGCACTAAAGTCAGTAGCTCTGGCAGCAAAACTGTGGAAACCGCATTAGCAAAGCGTTGTCAGATGCAAAAATAACTTTGAAGCCTTACATTCTGCCAAGCCTATCCTCCATTTTGGGCCCGAGCAACATATATGTGTCATATATATAACTGTGGTAATGTGAAGCTGACTGGTTCTAGTTTTTGTTTTGTAGGATATTTTTCAGTCATATCATAAACATTTCAAACAACGTATTCCCTTCTGTCTTGTTCTTCTTGTTCTTCTTCATTCAGTATTTTGAACCTTTAAAGTTCATCACCCACAACTCCAGTAATCTATGTGATTGGCCTTTTTTTTGTCCATTTGTTAACTCTTAGCCTTCTCTTTCCATTTGATGTCTGCAAATTATTCCTTTTCATGGAGTTAGAAAATTAGTTTTATGATAATACATTATCCATATTCTGCTTTATGCATCATGAATCATGAACCAAATTCTCTATACGAATGAACAAATGATGGTTATTATTTTTTTAAGGAATGAAGAATTTTTATTTGGTTATTAAGTATTAAAAATTTTTTTTTTTCAGCATAGGAATGGAATCTCTGTCAGCTTCTAGAACCATATGGTGACTCATACATTATAATTGCCTTCCTGCTGTTGTTCTGTTTACACATTTTGTAAGGCTTGTAGTCAGTTTCTCCTTTCTGTTATTTTTATTTCATATTTATTTAACGGATCAACATTATAGCACATGGGTGTAACTCCTAAGCACTCCCCTCTACTTCTATCTCAAACCTGAGTCTGAAGCTCTCAGCACAGTCATGAACTCCGTTGCACCGGCAATGATCCTTTAATACTTTGGGTAGATTTTAAACTCTAAATTTTGCCGGGCAGCGCTGTGGTAGGCTATTTTTTTTTTAAATTTCCGACTGCTAAGAGATTTTTTTACATGCACAACAGTACACATGGGCGTCTAATCTTACTACCCAGAAACAAGGGGAAATTACTTGTAGTCCCCCACAAAAAATCCCAGCCTTTCCCGGGGCTTGAAACTGGGACCTCCAGCATTTGGGGTGGATGCATACTTCGAGACCACGCAGCCCCCTTTCCCTCTTTCTGTTCTGTCCATGCAATCCATCCTATATTTTGTATGGAATCCAGTTTAACTTCTCTGGCCTCTCTCATCAATGTTTGTTGTAATGTTTCTCTTGCATATTCTCACTTCCTCAAGCCATTTTCCCCCTCACATTTCAGTGCATTTTGTGATTCTTTGTCCACTTCCTCTTTGAATATGCCTTCTGTATCACCATAATCTGTTTCTTATAGCTGATTCACACAGAGGGTATTTAGTTCCAGTTATTAAACTGTCCAAAACACATTTTCAGCAAAGCAACTGAACCTGTATCAAGTTTTGGCCCCAAACGCTTACTCATACAGAGAGGACTTTGTTCCAGTTATCAAAAAAGCTGTGCAGTCTCAGGTGCATGAGGTAAACATATTGTACATCTCTTTTGTGTTTCATTTATGATTGGGTTTGTTTCAGTCAGCGTGCAGAGATTTGTTTTGGGTATCGATGACTGGTTAGGTTTATTTGGCCCTAATTATCAATCAATCAATCAATGTGCTGTCTCCACAATGAAGGTTGCCTCAATGGATCTCCAACAAGCCCTGTTTCTTGCCCTTGATGTACACTCATTCATACTGCTCTTCGTCCATCTCTTTATGGCCTTTAGCAAAGTTTTTATTGCAACAGTTCTGAATTGTTATGTATATTTTATGCTTTTGGCGCATCAGGCTAGACATATTTTTTTATAGACCACACCATTCTCAGTGGGTAATGTGGTCAACATCATGCTGGCCGCCTTTACTTCCCAGGTCCTTGTACCCACATCAGCCTCGGTCCTCCTAGGATATGGAAATATACTGGGACACTCAAGAGAGATGTGTCCACACCTGCCTTCACTTTTCACTGCTGAAGCCTCACTCACCAAGGTCTTTATAACTATCTGTCAAGCTATATTGGCTGCAGTATATCCCCTGCAGCGGCGTCCGTGGCTTAGGCGTTGCGAGTCCCACTCGTAATCCAACGTACTGCGATCGAAACTCACTGCTGGCTGCGTGGATTTTTATCATGGTATGGGATGTCGCAGGCCAACTCAGCCTAAAATGGGCACCAGGATGGCTGTCCTGGGGAAGTAAAGACGGCCAGCTTAATGCTGACCACATTACCCACCGAGTGCTGATTGGTCTGTAAAAATATGGGACACTCTTCCCATATACCTGATGCGCTTAAGGCGTGAAAAGGGATCTTTACTTTACTTGACTTATATCCCCTGCAGGATATCAGTGATCTGGGCTCCTAAATCGTCGTTTATTTACTGTGCTATTTACTGTTTCCAGTATTGATCCAGCTTTGAGTGGGTACCAGGTCAAGTCCTGGGAAGTAAAGGTTGCCAGCCTGATGATGACCACATCACCCACTGAGAGCTGATAGGTCTATAAAATGTAGGTCTAGCACTATATTCCCAATATGTCTAAAGGTGGAAAAAAAGTTCCTTTACCCATGAGTGACATCAGTTATCACATCTCCTAGGATGACCCAGCCTAGATTCATCATCATACTGTTGTCTTTATAAATCACACAGGGCTGACTGACTGCTCCTCCATTCTGTTCTATAGTTTACAGTCTTGTCACTTTAATGAATGGAATCCATCGGCCTCTGTCAACATCATTTTGTCACAGTGTTTCCCTTGGATGACCTCATTTCCTCAATCTATTTGTTTCCCATTTCTGTGCTTGTTTGAATTGGCTTAATTTGGTACCAGGAAATTTCCTGGAAAGTAAAGACAGATGGTGTGATAGTATCCATAACCCATATTTAATGCTGTTTGGTATGAAAAGATGGAGCTAGCATAATATTCACCTCATCCTGTGAAAAGGAGCACTTGACCTTGTCCTGTGGTATAGGAATATTTTCACACTTTGATGCATCGGGCATATGGTGCTAGACATATATTTTCATAGAGCAGTCAGCACTGGATGTGTAGATATACCCAACATCAAGCCAGCCACCTTTACTTCCCAGGACATAACTTGGTATCTATTTTAGGCTGGGTCAACCTGGGAGTCAGGTCAACTTAAAAAAAAAATTGCCTGGATGCTTATTTGAATACAAGACTGACAAGCAAGTTTCTAGCCACTACACTTTCACAGCTTTCCTTCTTACATATTCATTGTCATAATTGTGGGTGGCTTTAACGTCAGCTTATCAGCTCTTTTGTTTCTGTATACTCCTTCATGGCTCATATTGTACAGAACTTAAGAAGTCTTTATTTAATGTACTGTTTTATTACATTGAATTCTCCTGTTTGGAATAGTTTGGGGCAGATGTGAAGTTTTGCACAAATGTGAAGTTTTGCAGAGATGAACAGTTTTGGGCAGTGTGGTTTTGCATAAATGTGAAGTCTTGCAGAGATGAACAGTTTGGGGCAGAAGTGAAGTTTTGCACAGATGTGAAGTCTTGCAGAGATGAACAGTTTGGGGCAGATGTGAAGTTTTGCACAGATGTGAAGTCTTGCAGCGATGAACAGTTCTGGGCAGATGTGAAGTTGCACAGATGTAAAGTTTTTCCACAGATGTGAAGCCTAGCACAAATGTGACATTCTTCACATACGTGAATGAAGTATTGCACACATGTGTGAATGAAGTCTTGCACAGAGGTAAAGTTTTGCACAGACAGGAAGTCTAGCACAAGTGTAACATTTATCATATATTTGAATGAAGTCTTGCACATATGAAAAGCCTAACACAGGTAAGAAGTCTGGCAAGCCACTCTGGCATCTGAGCATGGGGAGAGAAATGAAAGCTCTGTAACACAGCTCCTATTGACATAGTGTAATCAATTTTCATATGCAGTGTTAGGTTATAATATTTTCTTCATATGCCTTCCACACATTTTGATTGCCTTGTCTGACAGAGGGCAATGATCCAGTTTCCCTGGTCTGACGGCTCAGTGAAAAACCTCCATGTTGATATGGCCCAGTTATTTGAATATCAGAAGCAGTTGAGTGATGCTGTAGTTTTGTATGAGAAAAGACTCGATTGGCTGGCATCAGGAAGTCGTAGAATATTTGGAGCTGTCACAGAGCGCAGGTAAATTAGTCTTTCCACTTTCAATAAAGGTAATCTCTTCCTTCTCTCCTCTCTCTTCTCATTTTTCTGTTTCTTAGCTTTCTTCCTCTCATTTTTATCTCCACCCCCTTATCTTCTTCCTCCGCATTCCTCTTCTTCTCATTCTTCTTCTCTTGCTTCTTCACCACTTCCTCCTTCTCATCTTTCACCTCCTCTTTCTCTCCTCCTCCCCACTCTTCTGTTTGCATATCTACTTATCCTTTTAAGCATCAATTAAGGAAGAGGGGTCCAAAATATTGTCATCTTCACAGATTCAATGTCTGCCCTTCAAGCTCTGGAGGGCAATGAACGCTGCAGAACTGACATAGCCAAGATAATCCTGGATGCCGATCATCTTATTACCTCATACAACATCAGAATAGTGATGCAGTGGATTCCAGGTCACTCCGGCACACCAGGTAATGACAGAGCTGACAGATTGGCAAAGAAAGGAGCAACACAAGAACAACCACCTACAGCGACAACCCTCCAGACAGCAAAAACACTGATAAGAGCTATAAACAAAGAGACTTGGTTGAACAGATGGGCCATGGGAGACACTGGAAGAGAGGTTTATAGACATATGTCTGGCCCTGATCCTAATGACAGCATTAACCATCTAACAAGAAGGGACCAGGCCACCATCTTCAGACTTAGAACGCAACATACTCCACTCAATGGACACCTAAACAGAATACAGCCACAACACTCCCCAGAGTGCCAGCTATGTAACTACCCCTACGAAACTGTTGAACACCATCTCTTTGAGTGCCCAAAACTCAGTGAGACAAGAAGAACGCTACTCCCTCCGAGACCAGACAAGTGGAACACCTTGTACGGAGGAAAAGAACAGCTTGTGAAAACATGCAAATTCCACTACATGGCATTGGGCCAAAGGGCGAAAGCTCATGCGCCGCTGGATCGATAACAACAACAACAACAAGGAAGAGGGAATGCTTTCAATATTTGAAAGTTTTGTAGCAGATGGCTGGAAACAAGTAGTGTAGGAGTTGAGGGAAGGGTGTAGGTTTTGGGTGCATGTGATGATCACTGAAAATTCTTGAGTGCATCACTTTTAAAGAAACCAAATTAAATATGGAAATGACCACTGAGAAAGTCATTTTTTTTGGTTTGTTTAAAGCAGCAGCTGCTCTAATATTGAAATAAGAAAGAGTAGAGCACACATCAAGCAAACTTTTTTTAGTGAAAGAATGTTGAATTAAGAGTCGACATCATAGCACCCAGGACACTCCCATAAGTGCTCTGTCCTTATCTTCAGCAGCAAGTGAAGAGTTTGCTAATCTGATGGCACCAATAACTGTCTGATTGTAAATCCATTTCACCTTTTCCTTTATTGTTGAGCATTGGCCAGATCCCCTGGTAACTCCTCGCAGCGCCATTCTCATCAGACCTTTATGATCTATCTGTGCCTCCACACTGTTCACTCGCTCCCAAAACACCATCACAACATTTAGCTTGTCATACATCAATTTACCACCAAGTGGTGCAGAACCGGCCAGTCTATTTAGTGAAAGAATGTGATGGCTTACGCTCAAGAATGAGAGTAAATCACACACCAAGTGTTGCTTGGGACTGAAAGAGTTAGATGAAGCCTTTATGTGAGCTGTCTCTGTAGCCTTGAATTGAATGCAGAAAATCGAACAAAGGAGAAACAACACACCTATTCAATGTCGTTACCATAAATCAAAGCACATTTGAATAGAAAATACAAGGAATAGTGGAGAGAACAAAACCAACAGTAAACATCCACAAGACCCCATCAGCAGACTCAACAGAAAGCCACATACAACAATTTTCTTTCTGGGAACAGGACACTGCAGGCTCAACAACCACATGCATAAAATAAAGACTGTACAGTTCACCCCCCCCCCCAGTGTGCCTTTCGGACAAGACCGCAAATATCTGAGTGTGCAGAGCAAGCTATGGAGAACCATGCAGGACCTGCAGCTGACACGCAATTTCATAGAGTTAGAGGAGAAGAAGAAGAAGAACTGGATGTCATAAACTTTGTTGAGTGAGGGGGAGAAATCAGGAGAGGAACTTGAATAAATCAAAAAATGATTGTGGGTTGGTATAGTGCTGAGCATCAAAGGCAAAATATGTTAAATACATGCCATCACAAAAGTCGTCCTGAAATCCTATGCTCTCATTGTGAAAAGGCTTTTCTTAATGCTAGTGGGTCTTGCTAGTCATGCTCACCATTGCCATGGTCTGTGATTCTCAAGCCTTTATTTAACACAGTGTAACACTGTGGTCTAGAAAGACAGAAAAGTGCCACTTGTATGGCCTCTGCTGATTCACTAACCCATTGCTTGTGGAGTTTCCCTATTGTTCTTCCTACTGTACTTAAATACAGTTCTGTCTGCATTATATTGTGTATGGGTAGTTTTGTTTATAACCAGATCACCTGACCTGCTGCCATTCAATCAGATTCAATGCTGATTCCGTGGCAACTCATTAGCAGGTGTCATCATATCTTGTTTTTTCTTGGCACACTAAGTTGTCTTCACAGGCACATATTCTCTGTTGTTATACTTTTCTTCTTTTGCCCTTTCCTGGCATTGCCTAGTTCTGATACTAACAGCATTGTGTTGGTGTGAAAATTGTGTAGATTTAAAGTACATCTACAGCGAACAAAAAGTTGGGTAGAAGATGTTGATGCTGACCTCTACTACGTTATAAAGATGTGTTCTTGTTCTTGTTCTTCTTTTTCTTCTACTTCTTCTTCAGTATTCACCCTTAAAAGGGCAGTTGACACATTGTGTTTTTCATGTTTCTAGTTCTGTTTCTTTCATCTGTTATTTCAGCATTCTCTGTAAACCATCTTACACCAAGCCCTTTGCAGACTTGTTCATGATTGGTTAGATTTTTCAGTTAAAGTTTTCTATGGAAGAAGGTAGCCAGTCTTATTTCACCATCTTTAGTTGCCACTTAACACATTCTTAGTATGTTATCATAAATCATTCTTTTGTTTCCCCTTATTAGCCCTAGTAGCACATGTGTTGCTCAGTACCATAGATTTAATAAATACTCTTACAAATTCACTGTCAACAATACCAGTGGGATGATAGTATCAAGAGGTTGAGGAACAGCAGTCACAGAAAGTGTAGAACTGGGACAAGAGACAGAACATGTTAGAGATCTGTTGCAGTCAACCTGGAACATGGAGACCGCATTTGACTGATTGATTGTTGTTTAACCCCACAAAGACATCACATCGAGCTATAAACACCCGGTGACACAAAGTGCCCCCATTCAGATGAGAATCACCCAGGGACAGGTCCCAGAAACCCCACTCTGCGTGAGGTTATGTTATGGCCCCCGACCACAGTCGGGGTGGAGCTTTAAAAAAAATTGCATCTTGTATTGGGGCAGCGATTTGTATTCATGAGCAATTGACTGATTGACTTGACATTATAATTTATAAAATAAGAAAATTGTGTTGACATAGAAATGATGTGCAGTATATTAATGTTCTCTTAGTATCTATCCACCCCCCCCCCCCCTTCCCCACCCATCAGATCACTGTCGCCCACTCTCCCAAAAACTTGTGCACATAGACACACATACATTCATACACGCACGGACACATGTGCGCACACACACGCACACACATGCACCCACGCACACACCCACACATGCACACACATGCATGCATGCACACATGCACGCATGCGCACACACATACACACACACTTCTGTCTATTGACATGTTTTAATTCACATATGCTTGTGTTTTTGTGTTTATTTGTTTACAAAGCAAGGGGGAAAAGGGGAAATAATTTCAGTGTTAATTTCAAGGGGAAGTAATGTATTGTCTATTGTTTTTTCTAATTCAGTGTGGTGATACTTGTGGATACCTCCATGAGCAATATCAACTACCTGATCCACATCCAGCACTCCCTGAGACTTCTGATTCAAGAGCAGATAGCCAACAAGGATTTTTTCAACATAATAGCGTAAGTTGTCGCTTCTGTCCTGTTTTCAACTTTTACACCAAACCTGCATTTCTGCTACAGATACTCAAATGAATGTATGTCTGTTCTAAAAACATATCATCACATATTTCGTCCTATTTAGGATGAAATGTTTTGTTATTTGAAGCTTCACCTTGGCTTTTGCCAGGGGCCGCAATATAGGCAGACCATAAATATGGCCAATTGTCTGAATGCGGTTTCTGGGACCTCTCCATAGTGATCCTCATCCACGTGGTGGCACTTTGTGCCATCGGGTGTTTATCGCTTGTGTGATGTCCTGGTGGGGTAGAAAGTCAGTCAGTCAGTCTAACATAAACATCCCCTTGTGGGATGCAATTTTTCGTTATTTGAAGCCCTACTCTGGCTCTTACCAAGGGCCGCAATATAGCCCAGCCAATAATATGGTCTAATAGCTGAACGTGGTTTCTTGGACTTCTCCACGGGTGATCCTCATCCACATAGTGGCGCTTTGTGTTTATCGCTTGTGTGATGTCCTAGTGGGGTAAAATGTACTACTACTACTTCCATTATAATCAAATTTTTTTATTTAGATAACTAAAAAAGAGAATAATTTGTGCACATTTGTCTCAAATTATCCTTAAGTAACTCATCATCATCATCTAGTGCCCCACCGGCTGCCTGGGGCGATCATGCCTCTCCAGCAGTATTTTCCTCCATCACATGTCAAAAGTCTGTCAAGGATCTTTTCATATCTTCTTCTGTCTTTCTTTCCACAAATCTTTTTAGCAGTCACAGCTGGCCCAGTTTCCCTCTTCTTATAACATGACCAACAATTAATGACTGTCTCCTTCTCATGTTGTTATCTCTTCAGGCTCTGACCTCTTTCAGAACATCAACTGTCTCCTTCTCATGTTGTTAT